TAGGAGCAAATTGAGAAAAATCTGGCCATCATTCTGCTGCTGTTTATGAACTCTGCAGGCAAGGCATGCCTGAGTACACATATACACCAATGCCAGTGGTACCTCAAAAGACAGAATGGACAACCTCCACTCTATTTTCATTACCTTGAAGACATGGCACTATTTTAACCCTCCCTCCTAATGAATGAGTTATGAGCGAGAAGATGTTAAAAAGAATAAAATCTGACAGGCATTACAGAGGAAAATCTGTACTTAAATCAGCATACAGAATAAAAACAGAATATCATTAACTGACTTAATTAAAAGGTTATGCAATACCACTGCACTTACCGTGGTCACATTCAGAAATGGGAAGTGTTTAGAGATGAGAAAACTAGTAACATAAGTACAAAACCCTAATACTGCAGAGCTGAAAAGCATTACTTCAAATGCACTAATTGCAAATGCCATACAGTGACATACTTTTCACTTTAGTATCACACTGCCATGTGATTTAATCTCTTTTGCCATCTGCTTTAAACAAATGGCAGTGTTACTCCCAAGAGTTCCCCTGTGATTCATGTCCAGCAAGTATCCCACAGATACTGATATCTAATGGCACAGTACGAAACTCAGCATTCTATGGTACAAAGAGGAAACAAATTTCCCATTATCACTTGCAGCATTAAGGTCTTCCTCCTTCTGTTAAATCAAGGCGATTTAGAACCTGGGAGATATGGGTGCTGATGTTACTCAGTTACATATTCTTACATATTTCCATTGCATTTTATTCTAATAATAAAGTTGAGCACAAAGTGGGCTGTGTCCTCTGCTTACCTATGCAGCCACCCATGTTAACAGCAGAAAGAATAAGCTGTATACAAAAGGCAGTTTCTTAATATAGAATTAATTGGATGTTCCCAGATTTACATTTACTCAATTAAAAGACAGAAAGTTTAAAATAGATCAACACCACATCTGCACAGGAAGCTTTCTGAAAACTCATAGTCATGCCACTCTCTGCTTTTAAGAGTTTCCCTCTGTTTCTCAGGTTAAAGAACTGGGGGAATTCACTCTTTATGCATAGCAAAAAATAAAAAAGAGCCACCAATGCAAATGCTGTGAAATACAGTGGAAAAACAGTATCAAAATAGGCAAAAAACCCATCTTTCCATGCCACAGGCAATACAGGGCTGATATGCTTTTGGCTACAAAGGATGCTGTTGAAACACGAGACCAGTAAAACATGCACTGTGTAGAGTATAATTAGTTCAGAGAATGAGTGAATCAAATGTATTCAAAAGGAGCTCACACAGCAGTAAAATCACAGAAATTAACTGACAATGGTCACATACACAGAACTGTATGTTGTTGGATGATGTTTTTTGTAAAAGTCATTATTTAACAGGTTCCCACTGACTAAAGTCATCTTTTCAACAATGTCCTCAACATGGGAACCCACCAACCACCACCAGTGCTGGCAGTAATTGCTATGCTTATTTGAATAAGGCCCTAAGTTACTGTGCTCCAGCCCTTGCCAAAATCCTGTGCTGACTTGGAACAACGGGGAAGCAGCTTGTACATTTTCAGATGGCTTTTAACAATGCAGTACAAAGCATCTTGCATGAGATTTTTATCACACTTCCATCAGCTTTACATTATACAACTTCTGACATCAACTGAGACAACAAGGAAAGAACCAAGTCCATGCAGCACCACTCTCAGTTTCTCTGCTGCGAACACATTCACATATTTTTATACATCATTAGGCTATGACTGTGTCTAGGTAGCCAAAAATAACGTGTCATTCTAAACCTCAATTAAAATATTATCAATGGAAAATAAATTTCATCCAACGTTTTAAGAGCAGGTCCAATCAGACCATCAGAATTAGCACAATCTACCTTTAAGAACAGGAAAGGGATTTCCTGTAAAGGACAAAGATGATACTACACACTGTTTCTGGGACTTGTTTTTTTTCTATTAAGAATTAAATACTTTGCAACACTAGGAGACACTTTTTTCAATAAACAGTTTCTTTTTCTTCAGTCACCTTATTTCATTTTCTTGTGTGCATATATGCACAGATTTTCAAACAATACAATTGTAAATGTTGGGAAAAAAAACCTCCCATAATCAAGTTTCTGAGTGGTTTTCCAGACCTATTGCTTTTCAGCTATATTCCTGTAGATACAAGATCTGAATAATTAAAAAAAGAAGAAGAAGAAATGAAAGAAAGGCAATATTATTTACTACGATGTCATTCACTTCATTGCTTAAAAGAATTAAAATTGCACTGATTCCTGAAATCAAAGAGCTGAGTCCATAGGTGAATGTTTAGACACTGATTTCAGCTAGTTAACCTGACATGTCAATTAAATGCAAGATGTAATTTATTCAATTCTCAGTCTGATCTGACACAAAACCTATACTTCCCCAATTCCTAATTAGCCAAAGTACTTGTCTTCTTTCATGCAGATAATTTCATAACCATTAGTGTAAAGCATTAACACATTTTTCTTTCAATCACATTTTCCTCCTGTTGACTGACACACCTTTTCTAGTGAGTGTACTTGTGCCAGTTTCAGCTTTGTGGGAACTTGCCCCAAGGTCTTCAGTAAAGTTCACTCCCATACACATAAAGCAATCATACATAATCATGATGCTAGCTATGGAAAGACACATGTCTTACCTTAGAAAATATGAGCGGAAAATTATGCACTGGAGGAATGTAGTTATTTCCATTTAAACAGCATAGTATTTAACATACAGTTGAATGCATCACGATTAACTCCTCAACATGATGTTCAGGTGGTGTTTTTCATTAAATAATTTACAATTTTTTTGGCAGACCAGACTTCTTATACAATGCTTACTAATTCTACAGAAGTCAATCAAAATCAAGAAATTAAACTGGTGTTCTGAGCACAAAATTATTATACACAAGATCTGGATACGTATGTCACCTATACAATGCTATTTTCAGTAAGATATACTCAGTTGTTTTTTTTTTTTAATTCTATTTTAACTCCTTATTTAGGACTGATTTTGGAAAGATGACATATGATATGCATAGAGCTGGATGAAAAATGCAGAAAAGTAAAATGTCACATTTTATTGACATGAGAATGAGGAAAATTTCAACTAACTTTAAAATTCTGTTTTTTTCTTCATTGTGTCCTTACTGGTTTCCATTCACAGCAATCAGAGCTGACTTTATCCTGCAGAGGAGTCAGGAAGAAAAGCCACAAGCACTTCTTAAACTCTGCTAAACTCTCTGGGGAAAAAGCATGGCCAAAAAGCATCACACGGAATCTGCTTCCTAGTATGAAATGTTTACACTATTCAGCTTGATTCCTATTGCTTAGAAATGAGCAATTTACTTCACTTCCATGTACAGAGTTTGCTGGAGCTTCGGATGCCATCTGTCATTCAGGAGGAAGCTCAGCATTCTTCTCATTCCCTGCTCCCCATATGGCATCTCCAAATACATGACAGAAGCAAGCTCGAATCATGCAGACTCATGCATTGCATGACATACTTGTGATCCTCCAAGTCACAAATGTGACCGTGGAATGTGATCCCTTACAGGGCAGGTTCCCTTCTTTCCTGCTCTAGCGGCGCACCGGGGGCTTCACAACACAACCTGCACCACCAAGATGCCACAAGAATTTGCTGTGCTGCTTTGCCAATAGTGCTCTGTGACTCAGCGAAGGCAGTAGCTGCAGGTTTTACAGACCTGACTTTGCCAGAGAGATTTCTGCTAGCCTGCTGCTCCTCCCTCTCAGGCAGATGTGTAGCGAGCACTGCTCCCCAGGCTGCTGGGGCTACTACACTGGTGCCCAGTTACCAGAAGGGCATCTTTACACAGAGAAGCACCACCAGCTCATTTGAGAATCAGTGCAATTACACCGATGCAAGCCAGTTTAATTAAACTAGACACTCTCATGTGGGCTTAATGCAGAGAGCATCCTGGTTAGCTTGCATTTGAACACTTGCCAGTGCAAGCTAATCCACTTTTGGGAGGTTTAAACCCACATATGTGTTCTCTTTCAAATTTGGACTAGCTTAGCTAACCTGTTACTAAAAGGACAGCTTCATTGAAACTAGAACAAGTTTCACCACACTAATTATTTAAGCATTTTTAGAAATACTCATCTCTTTTACTAATCAGCTTTGTTTGCTGATTGTGGTGATGAGAATAGTCAGCTTTGAATACAAAATGCTTTTCTGGCAATCTGTATACTAAGAATGATATTATAGTAAGGCTGTGGTGGATGCCTGCTTAATTCTTTACAAGAAGTACTAAGGAGCAAGTTCTCTAACCAAGGACCTCCCAGTGTGTTTGACCTAAGAGTATTAGAACCACTGTTACCTGTGTTTGTTTTTAACTTCTGATCCTACTTAGTTCTGCTGTCCACTGATCTTTGCTGTGACCTAATTAGTGTGCAGCTTGCATGGAGACAGAAGTCATCCCACACTACCAGCTCAGAAAGATGGCGGCAAGTCAGCTACAGTCTTGATTTGCCATGTGCCACCTCAATCTCTTGGTTGTACAGGAAAAACCTACCAGATCATTTCAGCTATCACATCAAAAGCATACCACTGTCTTTAATGATTTCTAGATGCTAAGGTTTTTTTATGCCCTTTTCTACAGCTTTCATCATAATGAATGAAAAGGCCACATAAGATCAAAACTAGACTCAGTGTGACAGGAGAGAGAAACAGACTAGAGTTTCTCATTAACATAGTTTTAAGTCCAGGGAATTCAGGGAATTTTCAGTGCAATGCAATGCTAGGATAGCATAGCTTTATGCCAACAAAGAATAGGGATACATTTTTAGCAAAAGCTGTCTATATTTATTTGTGCTTTGTTCTACTGATTTCTCAGTTACGCTCAGCAAGAATGTAAAATGGCATGCAACTTTTTTAACAAAACTGATTACTCTCACTATTGCCAAGCTGCTTTCCTACCTGGGACTATTCTTTCTGCCCATACTATTAAAAATGGTATTAATTACCATTATTAAAAGCATCCTTGTTGCTTTTGCAGGAGAAAGACATCTGCTGTTGAGGGCCAGTCGGTTTCCACAGTTCGTTGGTCAACGCTGGTTGACAAGAAGTATCAGCCCTGAGGTCCACCTGATTTTCACAAGTCCTTGCCATATCCAAGTTTGAGATGTCCAGCCCATACACAACATCTTCATAAACAAGAGAAGAATCTGATCTGTTGAGGCCACTTAGAGACAGGCGTACTACAGCTTCATTTAAGTAGAACGCATTTTCACCACGTAAGCTATCCAACTGATCATGTCTCATTATCTGCAGAACGAAAAAAAAGAAAACAGTATTTTTATCTCTGTCCAGCACCAGAAGAACCCTTATACCAGGATACCTTCAGTTAACTGTCAGACAGAAATGAGGATTCATAACATATAGTGATTTCGTTTCCCAGAAGCTAATATCAAAAGATGTTGAATTCCCCATGCACTCAGGAACAAACAGCAGTAATTGGGTATACTTTGTCTTGGCCCCTCTCAAAACACAGCAATTCTCAGTAATGACGTTTGGCCATCCAAAATCAGCTAGGTAGCTGGCTCAGAGTGATGGCAAAAATAATGGGCTGGCTCTCAGCCTCCCTGCTCCAGCTCTGCTGCTGAGGTATTGGAAAATGCAGGACAGAAAAAAGCCCAGGGCATGAAGTGCATTCAGATCTCACAGTTTATTTGAAATTAAAATACATATGAGATAGTCTTACACATAACACAGTGTCACAAATGAAACAGTAGATTAAGAACTATTTTAAGCCTGTGGCTCTTTGACAATGAGAATTTCATTATTTTGCCTCTGTCTGTGACATTCCTGGCTATCCCTGCATCTGGCTGTCATCCTTCAACTTTCCCTCCTCAGAAGAGTTCAAAAGTCCCATTGATTAAAGCTGATGGGCAACTTCAGCTTGTATTTTATCATCCACTTCTTAAGCTTGGCCAAATAAGTCAAGGTTTTATCACATGTTATACTACTCCATGGTGCTTCATTGTTTGAGATGTGTGAGCAATACATAGAAAAGTAATGTTCACACCATAGTCACAAAAGCTGGATGAAAAGGAGGAGGTCAGAGGCCAATTTTTCACCTTCTCATTCAGGCACAAGCTTAGACACTGAATGGTCACTGCCTGAGATGGGTTAGCTGCCAGCTGAAGAAGTAGGGAGGTGATGACCTGAAGAAAGGTTCTACTATTTTTCTCATGAAAATGAAAACCTCAGGGAAAAAAAAGCTGCTTGAGTGAGCAGGCTTTGAATCCAGGTGACTTCTTTTGATTTTCAGGTGCTTTAGAGAACAGTAAAGGAAACAAGACTCTAAACACTGGAGCAAGAGCTTCCTTCATACACTGCAAGAAGAACTATTTTCAGTATGAAATGCTTAAGCAGCCTCAGAGCTGCTTTAAACTGCATCACCTATCAATGACCATCTCCAAGCAATTTCACTGTCCAGGTTGGAGCCACGTACCAAGGTAATTCCCTTAGGGGCTGCTTGTTTCAGGGGAGCAATATAGCTGATGCCAGGTCTGATAGATAAGGCTTCATGAGAACCAGGCTATTCCTACTCCTACAGTTTCTGCTCCTCACTGGGGACAGCACTGCTGTTCAGGAGCACGGAGAGTATCTGAAAACCTTCATTAAAAGTGTTTCATGCCTTAGGCTTTACAATAGTATGATTTCCTACAAAAAGCAAGAGGCATGATACATCTTGCCAGAAGGTGCAAACACTCTGGTAAAGCAGAATAAAACACAAACTTCCATCTCTTGAATTTAACACTCATCAGTTTGACTGTGGCTCCCACGGGGCTCCAAAGTCAAAAGCAAGCCTAGGGATATGCCTGAACCACACACTTCCTCATGGTGCTATCAGCCAACAGACACTCTGGCATGGCAGACCATTTGTCAGGGAACATTTCTACATCTTTGCAGCTAGGGATGTAGTGACAGGGAGAAAAACATACCTCATGGCTCCCTGTGGGCAGCAGCAGGTTGCTCTGGAGACCATGCTTCCAGTGCCAGAGGAGTTTCTTCTGCACTTTGATACTGTCTCTTTTTTTCTCCAACACTTTCTGTCCTTCCTGCAACCTCTCCAGGCTCTGTTGGAACTCCTGCAACTGCAGTGCAAGGCCCTGGCGGCTCTTCTCCAGCAGCTCCTCCTGGCAGCTGCAGGCCCGCTCCCGCTGCTCCAACAGGCCTGCCCTCACCTCCTGCTCTTGCTGCCACTGCTCGCATTCACGCAGCCAGCGCTGCTGCTCTTGTTGGAACTGCTGCTGGAGTTTGCTGATGTTTGCCATCTCATCCCTTTGTTTTTCTGAATTACGGTATTTTTCTGGTTCCAGGAAGAGGGGTATCCGAGAACTATGGCTACGACTGGTCTTCTCATTCTCTTGCAGGAGTAACCTATGGAGCTCTCTGTGGCTGTCCTGGATAGCTAATGCTGCCTAGATGCCACAATGAAACCAAACACAAATGTTTAAATATTAGCATCCGCTCATTTCTGTATTTTTGTTTAAAAACATTATATAAAAATGTTTCACCCTCATGCAGAGAACTCTGTGTTCATACCTATTCCAAGGCATGTTTCTAAAAGCATGCAAACATTTCACGCACATTTAATAAGGCTTCTGATTTGCAGCTGGTGTTATAATATATAATGTTTAGGCTACAGCTGCATGCCTCAGTTACAGTTGGGGTCCTGTTCTGTCAGATGATGTTAAGACACAGGAAAAACAATCTTTCATGGTTAAAGAGGGCATTAAAGCATTGGCCTAGGGAATGCAACACTCAGCAAAGTATTCCTAAGACAGATTTGGTGCATACAGAGAAAAGTGCACCGCTTCCTGTGCAGCTCACACAAGGCATAAGGGTCCCCTTGTAAATCTGCAGCAGTTTAGTCCTACTAACAACAGTTCTACAAACATCTTCCAAGACAGCCAGGTCGTCTTACTCCTTACATGCACCTGACCTTTGCTGCAGAAATTGGCAGTGTAGTCATGGTTTTGGTTCAAAGTTTCAGTAGCTTTTTTCACAACCAAGAGCACTATGTGTCATCCTTCACAAGGATGTTGTGACATGGCTTGCACTAAAGATTGTGACAGTATCCACTATAAAAATGAAATAAAACTGCTGGTATCTAAAAGAAAAGCAAGAAAAGCCTAGGCTTACTAATGTACTTAGTGCACAGTTGGTCTTTGAGAACTGACATGGAAAGCAGATGTTCCCAGAGAATTCCCTCAGCACCACTGCCCCAAGCCATCCACTCTAGCTTTATACAATGTGCAGTTCCCACTTTTGTTGGCTTTTCCTCAGTAACAGGCCTGCTAGTACTAGATCACTGCTTTGTGAACAGAGCAATGATAGGATTCTCTGCTTGATTCTCTGTACCCACACTGCCAGCATACACAACTTTTCATAGTCAAAACCATAAGGCATAATTCTGAGTCTACTTTATTGCCACCAGTATTAAGCCATCTATTTTTCAATTTTTACAAAACTCTTCCTGATTTACAAGGTTTTTTTTTGTTTTTTTTTTGTTTTTTTGCTTTTGATTTGCTTCCACTTAATTTCTAATCCACAAGTTCCTGGGATTGCTAGGAAGTATGCGAATATCAAGGTTTAAAAGTTAACCATATTGCAAAATAAACATTTTAAAATTGATATTCAAAATTGCACCAAAGGAAAAATAAGTTAAAATGTTCTAACTTGTCAGAAAGAGCCAAACACTTCTGACTAAGGCTCTGCAGAATAAAACAATAATGACTTGATGTTGAAATATCTATGAAGGTTGGTTGGTCACATAAGTGGCCTAGGTGTGGTTTATAAGTCACCACAATAATATTCTAAACAAAATACTTACACCTGTATCTATATCTAAATTTCAAAATCTGCACATGAAATGACATCAGTTCAATATGAGCTATCATTTTACTCCTTCCCTAGATGTTTGGACTGTACATACTTCCTCTCAGGGAGGAAAGTGATCTTCAAGCAAGCATTATTCAGTTCTCAAAGGAACAAAGCACTGACGTAGAGCAAAAATATATGGTAAGACATCTTGTACAACAGTCACTAGAGATAACATAACAACTAAAAGTAGTGCAAGATGAAAACAAGCCTTAAGAAGTAAATTACTAAAAGCAATTATTCTACAAAGTTGATTGTGAAGTAGTCACCTGTATGCTGTACAAGAGACGAGTTAGATTCTGGATTGCTTGTACAATCTAGAAAACAAAAGAAAAGGATTTTCAAAGTTTTGTTCACTCTTAACTAACTACACTCTGTCTGGGGTTTAAATAAACTCACCTCTGTCCCTGTAGATCCTGGGAAACTCATACTTCCTCCCTAAAATAAATACATGTTGCTTTAAAAACTAGTTCTTTACTTTGCAATTGTATCATCTAGGAATTTTTTTGTTTTACTAGTGGAGACATCCACACTGCTATATGCTGTGCTGAGTCAAACCTTTTTGTGAGTAGGTGAAAAAAGACAGAAGCAATAACCTAAGAAGACTAATAATTCATCAACACTGGAGTTTCCGTGCAAATCACTAGAGATCCTAAGCACAACTGTAAAAACAAAAATATTTCATCCACAATTTAAATCCTCTTGTGACTAAAGCTACACACAAAAAAAGACATTTCCATTCTCTCTTTGTTTACTTGACAATTTTGAAATACAGTAACCAGACTTCTGTATATTGAGCAGAATGGGTTTAGATTACATTTAGTATGATGAAAAAGCTCATGAATCTTCAGAAACCAAGGCATGAATACTGCAAGAAGCTGATGGCAGTAACATTAGTAGGTTACGGGGAGTGCCTTTGGTGTGCAGGGAGCTGAAAAAGGACTGCATACATGCTGTGCACTGGGAAACCTATCAGCATTAGGGCTGCTGTCCACTGCAGCTGGGCTTGCAGTGCACTCAGACACTTCACACTTTCCACCCCATCCTTTTTCTTAAGAAGCTTTTTTAATTTATGGGGTGAAGCCATCCATAATCCTTTCTGCACAAAAAACAGCTCCTCTGAGAAAGATAAGGTGAAACAGTGGAGAAATAAAACACAATCCTTTCTGAGGCTACACTGGAAAGACTTCCTGTATGATTTCTGTTACTTCTTTTTTTTCTTTTTTTTTTTTTAGGAGTGGAGGAGGGTTTGGAGAATATTTGATTTTTCTCTGATTCTCCCAAGTTCTCTTCTAAGCCCATTTCCCACCACAGAGCACAGCAGGCTGCTCCATTTCACTGCAATAACTGGAAATGAAAACAACAAAGTCCAAGCCCCAAAACACAGTGAAGATGTGGTTGAGGAAAGGAAACACCAGGTGCTACATTCCCTCCAGCCCTTTCATTCTCCATCACCTCCCTTCATGTTTCTGTACCCATACCTTCACCTCCTCCTCCACTTACTACTGCAGTAACGAACCAAACAATTTGCTCTGCCACCAGACAGAGGATATAATGGGGATACTATATAGTACTTGGACAGATACAAAGTAATTTGGCCCTCCTGCACTGGACTGCTAAGATGGGCAGCAGGCAGGGAAGAGGAGGAGTGTGAAGAAGCAAAAGGAGGAGAAGACGTGGGTGAAGAGAGGAAGACTGCATGAATGAAGACCCAAAAACTGAACAGAGGTGTGGGATCAACTCTACACTTTTTTTGTTTTCATAAAGCCTGTTTAATTTAACAGAGGATATGTACATAAGGATGAAAGGTTCAGCTAGCTTTGTCATGGCTAAGAGGCAGCAAGTGGCCAATTCAAGCACTTGTCGCGCTCTCCTAAAGGCAGCACCACTTGAGGACTGGACATAGTCTGGATATAGGCACGGGCATCCTGCTCTTGGTGTCTCTGCTTCAATGGAAGTTGGACCAGATGGACCCAGATGTTCCCGCCAACCTCAAGTACTTTACAATTATTACAATGGAAGTATGAGCAAAAGGAAGGTTTAACCAAGTCACCTAGTGATGTAACAGTATCACACCACTTCAGCAGTGTCCTTTAAGCCCAGGTAGGTCAGAATCAATGTATTCAGCTGTTTAACCTGTGCTGAATGCTAATACCACCTCTCTGCCCCTCTTCCCTCTTTGTTAAGAGCAATAACAAGCAGCAGAGATGTGCATATTCAAATCCTGGTGCAAGCTGCATATGTTCCTCAAGCAACCACCTGGAGACACAAGGCAAGAGCAGGAGGATGAGATGGGGACCACGTACTACTTCTACCCACTTGGCACCCAAGTATTGCGTGGGAAACGGTCTTCCTATTATATAATGCACCTAACCCCGGAGCTGGGGGCTTTCACTCTGGCTTTCTGGCTCTTTGCCCATGCAATCTGCCTAAGCCCAGTGCTGCCATCTCACAATCTCACAACACAAACAGCATCCGAAGGCAGGGGCTGGAGGACATCCCCTGCCTTTGAAAGACCTTTAGTGTTTTGTTTGCTCGCTCTGCCATCTCCTGGTCAGTCTAATTTTGACACGGTTAGATGTGATAAAACAGCTTCCCAAACAGTAGAGACCTGAAGAGTAAACTGGGATGGAAAAGCTTGCCTAAGACCCTGTAGATCCACTGATGCTCAAAACTAGCTTGAAAGTTAGATGAGGTTTTTCAAGGCCTTCTCCAGTCAAATCCCGGAAACCTCCAAAGATGGAGACTCCACACCCTCTCTGGGCAACTTGCCTCTGCTTGGTTACCCTTCCCTCATGGTGATTTTTTTCCTCACATACGGTCAGAATTTTCCTTGCTTCAGCTTGTAATCTTCGATACTCACCATGTTGCTATGCACCTCTGAGAAAAATGTGGAAAAATAGACAGACACTACTAGTGCTATGTATCTATCTCCTTTTCTTGCAAACTTTTCATTTCGTGTCCTCTCTCTTCATTTCTTCCCTTTACAGCTTTCGTGATTTTATCTAAGCCTTACACAATTATACTTCCATTTACTTTCACATTAACTCATGTCGCTCTTGCTCTAGCACTCCGTCCTGCTCCCTTAAATTTGCCATTTATAATTCTGCTCAGAACTGACTTTTGATTCTGCTTTTTCCTCAGATTTCTTTAAGAGCTATAGGACTTTGAAAAATGGGCAGTTTCTCTTCTGGTCTCTAATTGCTCTGTTTTATCTTAACTCAAAATTCTGAAGCAAGTTATACACTCATTCTCAGGATGAAGTTCTTCCAATGTATATGTCTTCCTTGCATTAACAGAGGTCTCTGTCATTGCATGAGACTTTCATCATCCTAAGAATAGGAGGAGGGAGTAGAGGGAATACTATCAGCTCCACAGGGATGGATGCATTGAATGATGACAGCAGAGAACCAGGATCTTAAGTGGCCCATAGAAAAGCATTATGGCTGCCACCACACTCATTGCTCTATAAGCCTGGTAGGAAAATTGTTCTGTGCTTGGATTTATTATGGTTTTTATGTTTTGTTTTTATTTAAATGTTTTTATAAATTCATTGTTAATTGCAGTGAATTCTCCTAAACTGAATTATCTGACTTTGATGAAATGTGCCTATCCTATGCTTCAGATTTTAGACTGATCTTCAGATATTCCATAAAAATCTGTACAGCTCTCATATTCCCAGTGCCCAGAGAGATAAGAGCAACATGAAAGAGAAATCAGTTACAATACCTTGTAGTCTACACTGGCATCAGAAATTTCCTTTTCAATAGGGCAAGCACTGAGATCAACTTCAGGTGATTCTTCAGCTTCCTTCATTTCTGCATCTAACATATAAGATCCCAAGAGGATGCAAGAAAAAGGTATCAAAGCATATTCTGACTGCAGAAACAAAGGGTACACTTTCCTACAGCTACTAACGGGATGCTGTAAATACCTAATGCTGAAGGATTCTAGGCTGGTGGAAGACAATATTCAAAGCCAGGATGGCACAAGTGGGACAATCTTATCTTAAAAATCATTAGTATTTCAATTATGAAATATTTCAAAATACAGCCATTTTAGTAAACATGCTCCACAAGTGTACAGGACTCCATTTGCCTTTTATTGCAGCAACATTATGTTGTACTTTATACAGCTGAAATAACCAGAATAGCAATCCCACTGACAAATTGGTTTTCATGCTTTGTGACAAAAATTGTCTGCCACAAAAAAGGCCTACACAGCAATATACATTTGCTGCACAGCTGAGCAACAAAGATTAGAAAACATAAATACTATGTATGAAGATTCACAAATCAGACTCAATAATGCTGATTGCAGACATATGTTATGGAAAAACTGCAATGGATACAGTTAGTTCACTTCAACGAAATTATATGACAATTTACTCAGAATGTTTGCCCAAAGACAATTTTTATTAAATAATTTTCTACTGATTCTGCCACAAACTGAGAAGACTTTCCAAAAAGAAATCCTGTATCAATTACTTTAGTAATCTGAACATGTAAAAACATCAAATTTTACTCACCACTAGGGAAAGATTCCAAGATTTCACTGGCACTAAGTCTGTGCTTCGAACTTAATTCCTCTGTACTTTCCTCTGATGATCTGTCCGTTTCATTCACTTGTGATGACGTGACAGCAAGGTGGAGACTTTCAACTAGGGAAGAAAATATGAACAGTTACTGAGACCCTGGAAATAGATACTTTATGCACATATCAATGACAATGAATTGTAGAATAGTTTAGTCTGGAAAGGAATATTCAGAGATTATACAGTCCAACCTTCAGGTCAACAAAACTGGGTCACTCAAAGTCCTGTACACACAAGCTTGTGGTATGCCCAAGAATGGCCATTTCACAACACTTCTGAGCAACATGCTCCAGTTTTTTACCACCCTCACAGTATATATTTTTCCCTTTATTTTATTGGAATTCTCCATGTTCCAACTTGTTTCCTAGTCCTACTGCCATGCACATCCAAGAAAAGTTCAGCTTCTCTGTTACAGCCCTTTCAGGTGGTTGAACTCCATCAAACCACCTTCTTTCAGAAGGGAGCTCTACCACCCCTTTTCAAAAACCATGTTCTCTGGACCCCTAATCATCTTGGTGCTCTTTGCTGAACATTTTCCAATAAGCCTTGTGCTCAGGAGTCCAGTGCTGGACACAACACTACTAATATTTCTCGCTATGGCTCAACAGAGGATGAACCATGTCCCTCAACTTGCTGGAAACACTTCTCCCATTAGGATGTTGGCTTCCTTTGCTTGCAAGCATACACTGCTGGCTTGTAGTCAACCTACTGTAGACTGGAACTCCCAGGTGCACTTCTGTAAAGCTGATCTACTCAGTATCCAGCCTATATCAATACACACACTACTCCATCACAGATGCAGACCTTTGCATCTGTCTTTGCCAGGCTTCTTGAGGCTTCAATCAGTTCATTTTCCCAACCTGTTGAAGTCTATCTTCAGTTGATTACTCCTCCAAGTTTGCAGTCAACCATGAATTTGCTGAGAGTTTACACAATTCAACTGTTACTTCATTAATAAATATGTTGTAATGATCTCAATATCTATCCCTTAGAGAATCCCTTAATAACACATTGCCAGCTGATCATAATCCTCTAAGACAAGAAATCCAGCCAATTTTCCAAGCAGTTATGCAGTCCTTATGTCATCAGTTCAGCTGCAAGGATATTACAGACTGCACAGGCAGTGTTGAAGGACTTATAGATGTCATGGCTGAAAAAATGTGATGCTCTTTTCTCATTATGAAAGCCACCAGGTTGCACAGATACTATTTGCCCTTGATGAATGCATGCTGGCTCTTCCCAATCACATCTTGCCCTTCATTTGTGCTTGGAAATGTTTTGAGTCTTTGCTTTACCATCTTCGCAGAGGTTCAGATGAGGATGACTGCTTTGTATAACCCTGCATTTCCCTGCATTTTCTCTCTTGAGGAACAGTGTGATGATGTTTGCATTCTTTAAGTCCTCAGGAGCCTCTCCTGATCACTATGACTTTTTGAAGATGATAGAAAGCAGTCTCAAAATGACATTGGGTAGTTCCCTGAACAACTTTGATTTATCCTGTCTTGCCCCATGGATTTGAGTGTATCCAGTATGCTTAAGTGCTCCCTAAATTTATCCCTCTGTACTGTGCTTTACTGTTAAGAGTCTACTGCTAGTTCAGGGAGTTGTATTATGGAAGTAATTCCCTATATATTGCTGTTAACTTGTTAATGTGAAATGAAAAGATAACAACAATAACTAGAATGAAAGAAAGTGAAAATTAAGAGTGGGTAGAATCAGGTGTGTCAGTACAGATTGCCACTTTAGATAAAATGACATCTGTAATTTTATCCCTGCCTTATATTCCTCACCCAAAGACGTCTATTCTATCAATAACATTGTTCTCTGAGTTCCAACCTTTCCTGTTTCTACTTGAAATGTGGTTATTTGCCCACAGCGCTCATGCTAGGTAACACTACAATCTTGCAATACCTCTCAAAGAGCATATGGCCTATGACGAATATGGCTCAGTTTATTAGGACACATTTCAACTGAGTTTAACAGGAATTTAGTTGAACTTCCAAATAGACAAGACACCCACAAATATTATTCCCTTCATTCCCTCAGAGGACTGCATTATAGACAGTGCAATGCTATCTGCCCTCTGATAGCGTGCAGAGAAATTTGGCTTCTAATTATGGCAAGCATTTCTTGCAAAAATCTGTTAAGATTGTCTGCAGTTCAGTTTGTATATAATCCCACAGGATTCTGATCTGTCATCAAATCAACAAACTGTGAAGATAAGGGAGCAGATGCTGTATCATGCTGTATCCAGTGATGTACTTCACAAGGCTGCATTGCAAGGTGACCAGTTATTGAAACATTTCTCAAATGAAATCTAACACCATGGTCCAGACTGTTTATAATAAGATGTTATTCACTAAATCTATCCCCACTAAACATATCTTACAATCTTCTTTGTGTTCTTTGCCAACCTTTGGCACAGCCACCTCTTGAGACTTGGAAGAACCGTTGCACAAGGTAACAGGGATATACCTTATTACCTTGAAATATCTGTTGTGTATGCCATTGTATGGCAGCTGAAGAGCCACCACTGCACACTCCTGCACAAACTCACCTTCTCTGAGTGCTGCTACCAGCAACGAAGCAGCCTGTGGAGTTTCTCCATAATCAGGTTTGACAAGGAGGTGAGGTTCTACATGAACATCTTCAAATCCACTCATATCTACTAGTTCTGCATAGATACGCAATTTGTCTTCCAAACAACTGCAGATTTGCTGGTCCTGGTTACTCAGTGATTCTGTCAACCAAAATTGAATACTGTATTAATATTTGTTATCCTGCAGGTAAAGCATATTCAAAATATTACTTCTAATCTTTACACCATGTACACATTGCTAACTTGAGCTAGGCAACATACTTGTTCAATGTCTTTTATAAGTGGCCAGGAATTGAATTCATTCATAGCCTGTCCTGATGAATGCTGGAGAAGACATTGGGTAGGTCACTGCCTTATACCAATGACGTGGCTTTGGCTGTACTCTGGCGCACTTCTGCTGAACTCACAATAAGCAACACTGGCAAAGCATTTGGCTCAGGGCAGCAGAAGACATGCTGATTCAGTGTGTCAGTGTCAAAGAAGAACATGTGCTCTCTGTAGAGGATGCCTTCCCCTGTGGCTTTCCCTAGGCAGGACGCTGAAACTTCTCTCCTCACAGCAGTAAAAAGATGTGGAAATTGTGCACAGGGAAGCCAAAGAAACAAAATTCAACTCTACATTTTAAAATAAAAATAAAAACAATAAAAGACGAAATGTGTCCTGGTTTCAGTCGATTTTCTTCCTTGTGTTGATTGTCTGTTTTGGCTTTAGGAGAAAAACAATGCTAAGAACACACCGATTTAGCTGAACTAGAGAACCAATCTGTATCCATTGTCCCTGTCCACAAGTAGAAACAATAGACATGAGAGTCAGTTCCTTCAGTGAAAGTCATTTTCCTCAGTAAGGAAGGAAGAAGAGGAAGACTACTCCATACCACAGCCATCACAAGAAGTGGAAGAAGAGGCAGAGCTTATAAATGAGTCAGTAACCACCTCACTACAGGTGAGCAGTGGATATGTGGAGATATGTAGAAAGATTTCAGCTGTCATCTAGGTGAAGCTGTTGTCACCTGGCTGTTCCAATGCTGGACAGCGGGACTGACAGCATCAATTGAGTCGGGCATGGAAGTGAGGCAGATGGGAAGGCGGAACTGCCAAGAAAGAAAAAACTTCCCCTTCCTGTGCCCTGGACATGAATCCTGTCAGACATTCCTAAAAGGATGATGTCTGCCAGTCAAGTGGACCACCATGTAAAGAGGTACCCAGTACCTGATAGAATTAGCTGTGCTGTAGGTGATGTGTAATGCTGACCTGAAAAATGTTCAATTATCTCAAAATCTGGATAGTGTCAAGTGCATACAATCCAGATGATATAAACATGTACAGAGTTCACCACCATTTTACTCACTGGCAGTAATTACCTGGAAAGATGGAGATGAGCAAATATGGATGAACTGGCTGACTAATTCCAGCAATACAAAGAAGGTCGCTCTCTCTGCATGGGTCTGTCTCAGCTGTGGAGAAATTGGTTCAGCAGCTTGAGGAGAAAGAAAGAAAGTTTTCTACTCCACTTGTACAAACCAGTGTATCTGCTATGAGAAGTCTTCCTCTGTTTGAGAGAAGGGATTTAGTAGATACACACCATGTGCTGTGTGACTATGAAGAGAATATGACGGAGCGAGTTAGAAAATCCACTTCAACCCAAGAGGCACAGGTATGTAAGCTGCAAGAGAAAACAATCTCTCTGTTTATTGGACAGTGCAGATTTGATGGCCTGGCACATCAGAACGACTGCAGTGAAAGGCACCAGTGGACACAGTGTACTGTACTTCAACGCCATCAAGTTATAAAGGGGTAGAATACATCTGTATTTTTGGAGTGACTGGGAGATGCCAAGAGCTATCTGTATTGGAGGCTGAAATGGGCCTAACTGAAAATGAGTGGCAAAAGCACCCCACTGCAACTGGCCCAGAAGCTCCGTGTATCCTTGGTATAGATCATCTCAAGAGAGGATACTTCAAGGACCAAAAAGGGTATTAATGGGCTTTTGGTATTGCTGCCCAGGGGATGGAGGACATTAAGCAGCTGTTTACACTGCTCAGCCTCTCAGAGGACTCCTGTTGTGAGGCTGCTAAGAGTAGAAGAACAGCAGATGCTGTTTGCTACCACAATAGTGTGCCAGTGGCAATATCACACCAACCAAAACTCCCTGATCGCCAGGGAGATCCATAAGCGGATTTGTCAATTGTAGAACAAAGGAGTAATCATCAAGACTTGATCAGATGATGCTACCAACTACAAAAAGGAAACACAAGCTTTTTTATGTGTTGATGGTTTTATGAGAGTTTATATTACTGATTACAGTTTGACTGCAACCCCTCTCTATCAAGTGACCCAGAAGAAGAGCCATTTCACACAGAGCCCTGAGCAACAAGAAAACATTGAACAAATAAGGAGATAGTTGCAGCAGCCCTTGGACCAGTCTGGTGCGGGACAAGATGTAAAATGTGCTCTATACTGTAGCCAGGAAGAATGGCTCCATCTGGATCCTCTGGAAGAAAGCACCAAAGGAGACTTAAGATTGATGCTAGGATTTTGGACCTGGAGACAGGCCTCAAAACTTGCAATATTCCAACTGAAAAAAATATACTGGCAGCATAGGAGGGGGTCTGAGCTGCTTCAGAAGTGGCAGATAGTGAAGCACAGGTACTCTTGCACCTGACTGCTTGTACTGGGCTGGATGTTCAAAGGGCAGTTTCACTCCATATGTCATACAGCTGATGCTACATGAAGTAAGCAGTCTGCACTGATCACACAATGAACTCCAACAGGAAACTTTAGTCACACAGGAATCATGGAAGCAATCATAGACAAAGATTTTGAAATACTGTGAGAGGAGGAGGGGACGAGTTGAAAAGGTTGTATGATAAAATACCAGAGAATTAGAAGAAATATGCCTTGTTTACTGATGGGTCTTGTATTGTGGGAAAACATGAAGATAGAAGGCTGCTGTACAAAGCCCTAGACAACAAGGTGCAGAAGCTATTGAAAGAGAAGGTGAATCAAGCCAGTTCACAAGAGTGAAGACCACACAGCTGGTTTTAGATATTGCTGAACGAGAAGTGGATTATGCTCTACTTTCATACTGACTCATGGATGGTAGGAAAATGTCCTATGGAAGCAGTGGAAACAGAACAATAGGCAGCACAGAGGCAACACCTTCTGGGCCACTGCACTTTGGAAAGATATTGCTGCCCAGGTAGAGAACACGATTGTAAAGGTATGTCACATAGACAGATGCCCAAGTACCCAGAAGCCATACCATTGAAGAACACTGAAACAACCAGCAAGTGGATCGGGCTGCTAGAACTGAAGGGGCTCAGGCAGATTTGGACTGGCAACATTAGGATGAATTATTTCTTGCTCCATGGGTCCATGGTATCTCAGGTCATCATGGAAGAGATGTAACATATATGTAGATTCAGGATCAAGGGGTGGAGTTCACCATGGACAATATAGCACAGGTTATCCATGCATGTGAAATGTGCTGCAATTAAAAAAGTCAAATCGAAATTCTTTTCTGGTAGAGAGAAATATGGCTGAAACATAAATATGAAGCTTGCCAGTTTGATTATATCACACTTCCACAAACCCTCTACAAGTGCCATGTGCTTACAGTGGAGGAAGCAAGCACTGGATGGCTGGAAACATATCCTGTGCCACATAGCTGACTGAAATGCTGTCCTGGACTTTATACATATGTGTATATATGCATAGACATAAAAATAATCACTAATTTCCTTTTCAGTCACGTTAAGTAGATTTATCTCAATCTACAAGTTCTACAATTTTCTTCCAATTCTCTTCTCCATCCTACTGGGAAGGGATGAAGTGAGCAAAAAGGCTGTATGGTGTTCATCTGCTTGCCAGGTTAAACCAAAAGAAAATGCCACAAACAAGTGAAGCCATATCGTTACTGAATATTTGAGGTATTTCCATGAACAGGAAACTATTTGACCTCAAGGATAATTTTATAATTTCAGTGTTTATTCTGAAAAATACATTTCATTTTTGTATTCAAAATAACGTAACAAAAATATGAATTATTTTAAAAAAGGCTGTGGACACTCCATCAAGGTCAGGTTGGCATTCAAGGTCAGGTTGGATGGGGACTTGGGCAGCTTGGTCTAGAGTACTAGATATGAAGGTTGGTGATCCTTCATGGAGCAGGGGAGTAGGAGCTTGATGATCCTCCAGGTCCCTACCAACCCAAGCCATTCTATGATTCTATGATGAAAAAATGATTCTCTTTCAGACAACTCACATAATACAATCAGACAACTATGGCTTTCTCTACTGACTCTGCTTATTAAGCCATTCTGACCCCATCAACCAATATATGCATGTTATTCATCCATCCTAACCTCTCAGGACATGGGAGCTCTTAGAGTGGCAAGTAAGGTACCGCACCTTGACATCTCTGAATTTTGCATGCTTTAGCCTCAGCGATACGTCTGTCCTCATCAAATTCACCCATTTTTCCTTCTTCTTGTTCCTCTGGACAACTGTTGAAATGAAGGAAGGACAGATAAAGTCATATATAAACATATACTGATTTTCAGTACAGTGTTGCATTCATTAGAAACTACAAAATAGTAACCAATTTTGGTACAGACTAGATCTGTGCCATTTGCCCACTTCTATATAAAGCAGAAACTGGGCATAAACAAGACTGAAGGATTCCTTTTTAATCCTGTAAGTCTTAGCATAAGGCTCACATCTGAAGAGCAATGTCTTCTTTGCCATACCTAATGGACAAATACCAAAGTAAGACTGGGGATTTACCCAGAATGGATGCATGGGCATTTGCAAGATTCAATAAAGCATCCAGTGCTAAAGGCAAACGTAAGGGAAGCTTAAAGTGACAGGTAAGGACATCTTGGAGGAGCAGGAAAGGTCTACTGGTTCATTGAGAAATTAGAAGCAACACAGTAAGTCTGATAGAATTGACGATGACGTCTTGGGGTCTCCGACATCTACAAAGAATGGAAAGCACACTGCCAAAAATATCCAAATGACCTCCTTTTCACTTTGGACTACCAAAGTGAAAACACAAGCCTTTTTCTCTACCTTTCCACTGCATCTTGAATATGCCTCATCCAGCTGTTACGCTCCTCTTTGGAGTTTGTATGAACTTCATACATCTCAGGTCCTGCAGATGAAGCACTAATCAAAAACATCCCCCTTTCTTCATTGGCTACTTCTCTTACAATGAGCTTCTGAAGAGAGATGACTGAAGGCTTCTGGTCCTGGGAAGAACAGTCACAATACACACAAAAATATATGTACCAATCATAAAATACTAAACTTTTAGAAGAAGGCAGTTTTTCAATTGGTTGAAGGAATTATCCATCAGAAGAGGGGTGGCCAGCAGGGACAGGGGAGAGATCGTCCCTCTCTACTCTGTTCTTGTGAGGCCACATCCGGAACACTGCATCCAGGCCTGGAGCCCCCAGTACAAGAAAGACAGAGAGCTGTTGGAGAGGGTCCAGAAGAGAGCCACAAAGATGATCAGGGAGCTGGAGCATCTCCCCTACGAAGGCAGGCTGAGGGAGCTGGGCTTGTTCAGCCTGGAGAAAAGAAGACCTCACTGCAGCCTTTCAGTACCTAAAGGGAGCCTACGAATAGGAAGGGAATCAACTCTTTGAAAGGGTAGATAACAGCAGGACAAGGGGAAATGGTTTTAAGTTGAGGGAGGGAAGATTTAAGTTGGATGTCAGGGGGAAATTCTTTACTATGAGAGTGGTGAGGTGCTGGAACAGGCTGCCCAGAGAGGTTGTGGATGCCCCATCCCTAGAGGTGTTCAAGGCCAGATTGGATGGGGCCCTGGGCAGCCTGGTCTAGTATTAAATGGGGAGGTTGGTGGTCCTGCCTGTGGTAGCGGGGTTGGAGTTTCATGATCCTTGAGGTCCCTTCCAACCTTGGCCATTCTGTGATTCCGTGAATTCTCATCCTAGTACACTCAGCCTATTTGTGTTCCCACCAAGTGAGAAGCCTGCAAGAGTTGACTATTCAGACATCTTATTTAACCATTTTGTTAAATACTTTATAGTACTCATGAATAACTAAAACACTGGGTATGTGCTAAAAACAAATACCAGACGCTTGGTGATACTGATTCACTGTGTTTATATAGCATTTATATAGTTTGGGAAGTTCAGTTTATGACCTTTAATGCATTTTATGTGCCACTACCACCACATTTACTACCACCACATTTGCAGTCAAAATTATTATTCTGTTTTGGTTTATTGTTATTGCTGGGTTTTTTTAGTTGTTGGTGTTTTGTTTTTGTTAAAATTTATTTTAGATAAGTGAAATAGCTTGCTCTGCTTCCTAGCTTCATAATCAGATGAGGCATGTCACTAAACCTCTGCTTGTTGTTTTCATCTTAACCTTCATATTAACCTTCCATATACTGGCATATTACTGTTCTGAACATATTAAAGTATTAAAGAAATTAAACAGTGTGAGAATAACGTGGAAAGGGATCTAACTGTTGAGTAGTACATAAATAAAAAAGTAACATATATTCACAGGTCTGACAATATACTTACAACAGCTGCAAAAACGTACTTCTGATCTTTTTCTTGTAAGAACAGCAGCATATCAGTTAGAAGCAGAGCTAGGGTATCTCAAAATGAGAAGAAAAAAAATTACATTTTTAATGAAAAATATTACTATTCTGCTTAATTGATTTATCTTTGAAAAAGAAGAAACCCCGATCAGTAAGTAACTCACAGAATCCTACAGTAAAGCCAAACAAGAAATACTTGGATTATCCTATGTATTGCACAAAGCAATGGCAAGCCATCATTTTGATCCTGCTGGGAAAGACCACACTTCCTGATATCCACCCTCCTGCAGCACAGTGCTAAAGCACTGGCCCACAGAAAGAAGAAACTCTCACTCAAACACCCTCGCAGCTTCTCCAAGCTTTCAAAAGTTAGCCTACTAACGAGCACCCTACACAAGTTTTGTTTCGTCCACATAGTAAAATATACTCGCAGTTGAACATTACAATAATGAAAACATTTATGGAGTAACAGTGAGCATATAGGCTTGTAAAGCCGTAAAACAAATATTAGCTAAGTTTCAAAAAAACAAATCCCAACATGTGAAAATTAGATTCTGGGCTTGAGTGTGAAAATTGGGCTCCAGCCAAATGTAGCTTCAGGATTTCTTTACCACTATCTATGTCCCAGTACCACTGCAGAACAGTGATGATGGTCAGTGCTGTGAACAGTACAAATGCACAATATAAGAACATGTGTAATGGGATGAAACTACAAACTGTAGAAAAGTGGACTAGAGGAGGAAATGCAACTGAGAGTAAAATGTAAAAGCACATTTTCCCAAGCTTTGTATGCAAGCTCGTTATTTTAAACATACAAGGTGTTCTCTATATATGGCAGCAGCTTCTAGAGCTACTCTTCTAGTTTCTAGTTATTAGTTGAATATTCTCAATATCGTTCCCTCAGAAATTTGTGTTTCCAGTGCAGTGTAGTAAAACACTTAAACCAAACAATCTCCATATGTTATCTGCAAAGGACTTCAGAACTAGGATGGAATACCTTTGAAACGACCAGTAGCTGTTTTCCAGTATACTAAACCTTCATGAAGAAGTATCCGCTCTTTCCCCATCAAGTCTTGCTTCCTAAAAATGTGTCCACTTTTCAGTTTTGTATATGTTTTGTTTTCAGTTCGGTTGAGAATTTCCATCAGTTTTTGTCTTTTCTCATATTCATTAACTTTCAAATCTACTGCTGCAATCATGTCCTTAATTAAACGAAGGGCTTTGCATAGGTCTTTATGTTCTTCTGATCCTTCTGTATGAAGCAAAACATAAACAATGTGATACTGACTGACATATTCAAGACAAGGTATTACTCATTACTTCTAGGAACTGATGAACATAATGTGAGGCTAAAATTGATAAATCTATAATTTTGCCTTGAACCTGGCAACGTTTGCTAGAGACATTGCAGGTATTTGCCTTTGATTTGCCTATAAAAGACAATAGACACCTCAGATTTATTCACTAGTCAAAACTATACATTCAGTATTTCTGACCTACTTATGAGCAGTTGAAATTCACTTGTTTTTTTTTAAATTTAAGTAAATCATATAGTATAGTACACTTCTGGTTAAGAGTTAAACTTAGAATAGGACTTCAAAGACAAAACATTTATATTTGGATATGAAGTTTTCTACAACACTAATTCATAGCCCATTTTAGGGGCAGTATCTGTAAGCTAATAGCATTTATAAAATGCTCTACAAAACTATTAATGCTTTGTTTGAAAAACTGAAATGTAATTTATGAAGCATTTGCCTAACCTCACAAGACACTTGACTGTAATTCATTTCAAAAAACATGCAGAACATGCCTGAATTATTGAACAGAGGATGTGAACTATCTTTCACTAAAACATGTTCTTCTGGACTTCTAGGCCTTACCTGGATGGAACCTTGGAGATTCATAACCATGACAAAGACTTCATATAGCAGACACACTGTTTGGGCAATATCTGCCAGAACAGTAGATATTTCATTGCTCTGGTTTGCACAGAACAATGAATTCCATCCTTTGAATAAATTGTAACATTACACATTCCTTTCACTAGAAATGTACCTCAATTTCAGACATGACACAACGCTCAGCTTTTATTCACCTTTTGTGTACTGCAATATCCTTTCAACTAGAACAGGGTATTTGGTGATTCGCTGAGTGACAAGCAGAATGCACTCAGGGATTCCTCGGCGGCGAGCCAACAAATTGCTGTTCCTCAGCTGCACAGACACAAATACATGCTATCAATAATAAATTCATATTAAAGCACCAACTGACTAATAACAAATATGATCTCAATGTGTTAGAATGAACTAAAATAAAATCTTGGGTCATGTGAACTATCCCCAAGTAATAGATGCTGCCCTGAGGGATGAGGTATGTTGTAACAGGAACATGCATGTAACATACTGGATGCCAAAGCTTTCAAAAACTTGAAAAGAAAAATTTATCAGCTTTCTCTTGAAAAAGGAAACTTGCCCTTTTTATTATATTAAAAATAAATTATAAACAAATAAATAAATAATATTAAAAATCCTGAATTTAAAGTAAAAATTACATAGTGATCATACTCTTGTGGAAACTTACTTTAATAAAATTCTGGAACTTCTTATTTTGTTGCAACTCTTTGAAGAGATTAACAGCTTCTTTCTGGTGGCTGCAAAATTCTCCATATATTTTCTTCATTTTAGTTGCATTTTCCTCTGAAAACTGAAGAAATTAATAGTTGAATTATGCTCAACAAAAAAGCATATACCTACAGACTGTAGTATGTGTAATATTTTATAATATGTATATAAATGTATAGTATTTTACATACATACAACCCCAGCAACTCATATGCTACTTGCTTCTCAGCTTCTCTGAATTTCACTATCAGGTCCTACCAATGCAGAATAAAAACAGGCTAGCCATTTTAGGAGCAAGAAGAGGAGAGCAAGCTGGACAAGTACGAGCATTACATTCTTGCCAATAAAGTAGACTAGTTACTGTAACATCACTTCACCTTTTTGCAAACACACTCCCTTTAAGGCTTATTCACATTCATCTGATCTCTTCAATTCCAGAGAGAGTACAGCTAGTATAAACAGAGCCATGACCCCTCCTCTCACAAACAGCAATCCTTGATATGCCATGCGCTGAGCACAGAAAACAGACTGTTTTTTTCTTGTTTTCATTATTCACTCTTCTGCTTAGTTGCTAACAAAGCGAATCCATTGCTTTTGTTTTTAGCAATCTGTGGTATTATGGGAGCAGCTTCCTACCAAGAACAGTATCTCAAGTTCATCACTTTGTCACCTGTACCATAAATGTAAGAGTTTGTTTCCAGTTCCTAACAATTACCTGTCAGCAAGGATTTTCTCTTATTGCTACTTCAGCCCGCAACATAAAGGGGCCAAACTTTGAATTTTATAAAGCAATCTTAGTCCTCTTCCCACCCAAAGAAGCTTTAAACTCTGTATGTTGTTTGAGAACCTTGAGTACATAAAGAATTAACAGAACTGATGCCTCTCTACCTGTTGCACAAGGATATCTCCGATTCTGCTTATTACAAAATTACGCTCACTCCCCTCCTCACACGATTCCTGCCGTCTCTCCCGCAACCTGCAAAAGAACTGCCTATGGATCTCCAGTAGCTCATCTAAGCAGGGGAATATTCTGTCCACTGTGCTGTGGTCCAGCTGTAGTTCTTCTTTCATTCCCTTCCTGAATATTTCAGACATAATGTAGAGGGTGTGAATGTGATGCACTTCTGTTTGCATCAGCTCTGCAGTATAAAAGAAAATAGTATATTAATCATTTTAAACATTATACAGTCATTATCACTTTTTCTGTATTAGCCTAAAACCTGTTAGATTATATCAGTCAGAAGTCTCAATTTATCTAGCTCGTAACTGTCCTGCACTGGGTGTACTGGGGTAGCCACTGCTTAAACTGGAGATGGGATGAGTTCCAGGGCAGGGTAGAAGTGTCTTAGGTAGTCAGCGTGTTCCAACTCTTCCTCAACTCTAGGAAACATTGTAATTTGTGGCAAAAAATGTTTTGCTCTCATTCTACCGGATATAAACTCATTCTACCAGATATAAAATAGGCCTGGTTCCCTCTATTTTTTACAATAAATTGTTTTACATGAAGCTTTGATATACTGACCAAAAATGACATCCTGCCTCTTCGCAACATCCTTTTCTTGCTTGTTACAGAACATTGGATCCACAACGAGACTCCATGATTCAGCCTCAAATTCCTGTGCATCTGAACTGATGTCAGTCCACTGAGACGAATCCACCTCAACTGTGGTAAAATGTACGTCTCATAAATAACAGCCAGAAACACATTAAGGGACATTTCTTTGACTGTCTATTGATTAAGTAAGGGGGACACATCATAGGGATGAACTTCAAACAACTTCTGCAAATGCTGACAGTGCTATTACAGAGGAAAAGCTTGCCAGATGTCAACAGCATTACCAAAGTGTTGAAATACTAATGTGACAGCAAGGGAAGAGAACAAACAAAAAAAATCTTAGATTAAATCCTTTTATCCTTCTTTGCTTGGAGAAATGATGTAGGTTAATGGTTTGCAGTGTGCACTGCTAATGGAAATGACCTGATGAGTGCAGAAATAAAGTATATTGCTTCTAAAAGGATGCCAAATATCTTTTCTCTATGATTTTCCAGTGGCAATACCATGCAAAAATATTCTAAAAGTTATTGAAGAGTTACTTTAATTGTACTTTTACTGTACCAAAAAAGTTATATTTTAAGACTGTTGTATCTGATTGTATCACTTTAATGAAGGCCCAGTTGTAACCAGTAAAAAAGATGTTCTACTTCTACTAGATGAAGTAGTTTCCTACATCAACTTACAAATTTTGTACTTTGCAATACAGGTTAAAAAAGGCAACACTTGTGCAATACTTCTCACCTTCCATCACAAAAGAATCCATTGAAGAATATGTCCCTAATGCCTGTAACATCTCTTCAGATCTTGACTTGGTCCTCCATGTGCTAGCCTCGGAGTCCTGCTCAGGAAATGGCATAGATCTTCTATGGCACAAAGGAAAGGAGAAAAAAGACATTTATTTAATTATTGCATTTTCCTAGAAATACTCAATAATGTATTTAGCATTTGGTAGCTGTCCTCTACCTTTCAAAACTGGCACCAGGGACACTTTTGGACAAGGAATGGGACTGCTGCAAGGCTTCCCTCCTCCCAGCAGATAGTCCTATAGGTACAGAGGAAGAAGGATGCACTGACAAAATCCCAGGCTGTGAAATGTCTCCAAATGACAAATCTGCGAAGCAAAGCATAAAGCAACATTTTGACAATGTACAGTATGTCATCAATAGCTTTACACTGTAAAATGTTAATCAATTTTCATATACACCTATGCCTGATAGCACAACTCTCCCTCCCCAACAGTAAAATCCATAATGCTTTACCACAGAATATAAACACAAGATCCTCAAGAAAGTGGAATAGCTCTGATGTGGATATGGAAGAAAACAATCCTCAACTATAAATACTCTCACATCACAATCTGAACCCAGGAACATCTCAGTACATATACATACGGTGAATATCATACTCAAAAGCACAAGACAGAAAAAAACGTCTACATTTGATTTCCACTCTCACAGAAAACAAAATTTAGTAAAATTCACCCTCCTTTAAGTAGGCGAGAAGATAACTGAATTTTTTCGTGAAATCCTGCTTATCTGTATCAGATGTGAGAAGCACAGTTATTTTTCCTGATGATATTGAAAACGAAATACAACCACAATGAAGGAATGTTTGTGTTGTCATTCCCCTTACTTCATAAAAGAGACTTAACTTATTCACACCATATTCACACACACTCTCTAATCTACTAAATACTTACTTCCTGTGCCAACTTGAGGTTTGTTTTTGCTATGGTACCTCTCCTGGGATTTCTGAAAAAGAATGATTTTATGAAACTACAATGAAATCATCTCTGACAACACACTCAACAGTCAAGTTAGTAATTCACTTCCATGCACTATCATATAAAAGAACCTCATGAAAAAGATCCTAAACTATGGTCCTAATTTCAACCAGTATCAAATAAACCTGACAAAGTACAACATTATTCGTACTGCAACACAAAATTGAACCTGTCTATTCTAAACAAAGTCACTGAGCTACTGCTTTCCGAATTTCTATATCAGTACTGCCACAAAGACTCCAAGAAAAGGAAATAATCTTCAGGGCCTTATATTCAAACATTCTTGAAGGATTTGTGGCAACATACTGCCTGATGGAGCTTCAGAATCAGAGGCAGAACCGATTCCCCTTCCAAGCTCTACTTTCCAAAACCTGTAGTGAAAGCTTGCCATAGTTACACATGTATTTTCCCTGAGATGGGTCAGTAAATATTTTCTGTAACTCATTCTCATTGAGAAGAGTCAGAAAGTGGCCCTTGTCTCCTCTTGAGAAATAGCTTACCAGTTCCAGTACTTAAACTGCCAATTCAGCTGTCTTAGTGTCCTCTACTCAGCCAGATATTTGTGCTAGGCTATAACATGACTAAAAGAAATATAACTAAAATAAATATAACCAAAATAAAAAAAAAATGTAGGGTTTTTTTTTGAGGGGCCCAAAACTGAAAACAGTACTCAAGATGCAGCATCACCAGCGCTGAGTACAGAGGAATGAGCACTTCTCTGCTCCTGACAGCTATATTATTTCTTATACAAGCCAGGATGCCATTGGCCTTCTTGGCCACCTGGGCACACTGCTAGCTCATGGTTAGCTGAGTGTCAACCAACACCCCCAGGTCCACTCAGTCTTCCAGCCACTCTGCTCCAAGCCTGTAGGATTACCTGGGGTTGTTGTGGCCAAAGTGCACTTCGATGGCCTGGCACTTGCTCCTTTTGAGCATCATACCATTGGCCTCAGCCCAAAAATGTAGACTACCCATATTCCTCTGCAAGGCCTTCCTACTTCCAGGCAGACTGACACTTTCTCCCAACTTGGTATCACGTGCAATCTTCCTAGAGGATGAGTACATCCTTCAGGATGTACTCAACGCCACCACCCAGGTCATTAATAAAGATACTGAACAAGATAGACCCCAGTATTAGACCCTGGGGAACACCACTTATGACTAGTCACCACTTGGATTTAACTCCATTTACCACCACTCTCTGGATCTGACTCACAAGCCAGTTCTTTACCCAGTAAAGATTGTACCTGTCCAAGGCACAGGCTGACAGCTTCTCCAGGAGAATACTGTGGGAGACAGTGTCAAAGGCTCTGCTGAAGCTTGCATTAACAGCTTCTTTCTCACCCACCAGGTGGATTAATCATAGAAGGAGATCTGGTTGGTCAAGCAGGACCTGCCTTTTATGCTGGCTGGGCCTGATCTCTCAGCTGTCCCACACATGCCATGCAATCTCACTCAAGATGATCTCTTCCATAACCTTCCCTGGCACCAAGGTCAGGCTGACAGACCTACAGCACCCCTGATCCTCCTTACAACCCTTCTTGTAGTTGAGAATCAAAGTGGCAAGCCTCCAATCTCTGGAACCAGGAATACTGCTACATGATGGAAAGCAACTTGGCAATCATCCCCACTAGCTTCCTCAGCTGAGCCTTTAAGTACCCTCAAGGCACACCATTACTCATCTTGTCCTTGTAATTTTTCAAAAATACAAGTAACTCTTCATACTCATTCCTTACCCTCTTCCAGAAATTCTTGTTCAAGCACAGTGCTTGATGATGCTCACAAAAAATTTTTCCATGCCCTTGTAATGCCTTGCATATAGACACTTGGTCTGAGGAAATTTCCTATACATTTTTTTCCCTTCACCATTTTTTCTATAACTCACAGAAAGCAAATCTAATAAGAATAGCGTGGTAGAGGAAGTTACCTTAGTGCACACAGGGACACAGTCCTTACAGTTCTTATGCACAATCACACTGCAATCTGAAAGAGAAGTAAATTTCAAAGCTTGATGCAGAACACGGGTCTCAGACTGCAGATGATGTTAACTCCGCAGTTTCACTACGCTTCCTCCTTCAGGCCCCTTTACTAAAATAGCCTGGATGTTGCTCCAAGCTACTGCCCCTGGATGGGAAGGAGCCTGTTGTACTGGGCTAGAAGATGCCCACTGTCCCTTCTGAAGCTGCCACCTGCTTTACCTCCCCACCCTCCCCTGCCCAACTCAGCCCATTACATAAAATAGGTACTTCCAAATCCAGGCAAGGCTTGTTTTAAAACAGAATGCTGAACCAGGATCTCCAAGCAGGTTTCAGAGCACTGCAAATTCATACATGAAAACCATTGACTACTTACAAGAGCACTGCAATGATTCTTTTCCTAGGAGGGCCTTTTCACAGGCCATACATGGCATAACTCCAGAGAAGGTTCCATTTATAAAATTATGCCTGTTCAGCTTCTCTTTGTCTTTGGTATCTTTATTTTTTGTCTTCATCCCCAATAGCACAAGCAGGAAAAAAGGGGGAGGGGGACAGGAAAAAGAGGGGGAGTATTAGGAAAGAAAATAAAGTGATTCAACCTTAAAAACACAACAGTGTTCTCTTTTTAAGAGCAAAACATTTTGAAACATTTATTTCCTGTACTGAAAGACCTAAAACAGTATACTATATTATTATATCTAACATCATTAATGGCATGGCTTACACTGACAGTTAGGCCAGCAAACTTTAGCAAGGAAGACTGGCAGTTATAAGCCTGCAAAAACAAAAGAGCCAGAAAACAAAATTTATGAAGTCTTACCGACTGGCCACACACAACCAAACAAGTGTCAATGTTTGCATCTCCTTGTGAAATCCATGCAAACTCATGCATATGCAATAAAAGCTATAAAATAAACTATTAATTAACAACATTAATGAATTTAATAATTTTTGCCTATTTTTACAGCACTTCTGTTGGTGTGAGTACACATTCCTCTGAGCATTTTTGGCATCATTATTTAGGAGACCACACAGACACACTCTTATGCATGGCTGCTGGACTGGACACACATATGCACAGCCAGCTCTGCCATGTTCAAAGGGATCACTGCAGCACCAGTTTGCCATCTTCACATCCACATATTTCATAATATCCTGGGACACAGGAGAATGCAACAGGCCAAATCCACCTCTAAAGCTGCTGATGCCATTCGTTAATGTACATTTCAGGTACCGCAAAATTAACCCACAAATGTTTTGATCTACATTTCACAGTAGATGTGCCTGGCTGTGAAGGCCTTGTATCTTTAATGTTAACTCTTTAATGTTAAGCAATACTTATTCATTCAAGAAGCCTTGTTAACATCAAATTAAGAAAATGGAACTGATTAAGTGCCAACGTAGAAGTTACAGAGCTGAGCACTTGCAGGAGCAATTGGAAGAACAAGACCATAACTTTTATTTAATAGGTAAAATTATTTGTTAAAAACAATTCAGATATTTCTACTTCAAGAAGGAGTCAAATCAGATTATTCATAATATGAAAAAATGGCAAACAGTAACCTTTGATGTAATTTGGCTAAAGCTACTGTTTAAAAGAAAAGCTGTTCTTCTAGTATGAATGCCCTTTCAGGACAGACATTCTGCATGTATTTTAAAATTAAAAGATAAAGATTGAAGTTCTCCTTATTCTGTGCTTTTGTAATAAACAATGATCTATCTTTATGTAAAAATTTAGATTCTCATCTACCAATCACACAATCATAGCATCATAAGTAATAAATAGTACATACATAAATCTCAAATTACCTTGTACTTATTCCGTGTGCTAGTCATTCTATTCATCAGAAAGCTGAAAGTTCGACTCACTTTGTATTTTTCAGACTCTGTTTTTGAAGGTACAATATACTTATCCCATTCTTCCTCCTGAATCCTAGAACACAGACCAGCAAGAACAACTCATCCCAATGGAAAAAAAGCAAAATCTGGATGGTGGTTGCCTAACATTTACAACTACAGTGTTCAATTCTGTTTTTTTTTTTATTTTCGTTGTTAAGAAGATTATAAATGCTTTTTATAAAAATAAATACTACTAAAGCACGGGAGGGGCTCTGGGCAAACTGACTAGGGAGGCAACACTTCCCATGGCAGGAGGGTTAAAAGCAGATGGTCTCTAAGGTCCCTTCCAACCCAAGCCATTCCATGACTGCACGTTAGACCACGTAGTACACAGACTGTGCGATGTGTTACTTGTCATGCCTATCAGTAAACAGTTCTTTGCTTTGCTTGAAGTAATTTGGCTGCCTCCTCAGATTGTTCCCACTGAGCAAATTCTGTGGCACTGTGGGACATGCACATCACAGTGAGCCCAGAAACAAGGAGCCAGGGGCTGAGCTCTGTACAGAACGTAGGCCTGTGCGTGCAGATGACCTGACAGGTGCCTGCTTCACTCATCAGGTGTGCACCTATATAGAGTGTTACTGGAGCTGGGACACACATGTACAACAAGCCCCTACCTTTTCTCTCGGGAGTGCTCGGGCAAGCTGTACGCTCGTTCTGCAAGACACAAGCAGTTAACCAACACTCACGTGAGGAAGTCATCATGCTCAGGGGAAACACTCAACCTTCATCAGATCATAAGCTTGTCATTAACCAATTGCAACATCACTTGAAAATTAGGGAAGCAAAAAAATAAATACGTTAGAGGCAGCTTTTCCTACACCATGTCCTACTGAGCCATGGTTAGCAGACAGAATTTGTCAGAACTGAAATGGACACCTGCAAATGCCAGTTTCTACAAACAGTCTGTTCTTAAGAACTAGAAAATTTATTTTGTTTTACTTGACAAGTCAGACTTGAACCATTTGTACTGCCATTTGTTTTTTAACTAATCTGTCATAATATATCTTAATTATATTCTTCTAACATTCACAAATGCAGCTTTATCTAGAGCCACTTTTTAAAATCCCCTTTTATACAGAAGAATATTACTAGCCTATATTCTGCAAAAACTGGGTGATATATTACAAGTTTACATCCTGGAAAGACTGACGAGATCTCATGAAGACACTTTTCAACAAAATGTCTAAAAAGCAATAAGTAGGTAATAGATGGAGATAGATCAGTATTCTGGGTTGCTTTGAAAAATTAGAGCCCCCTCTACTATTTCCATTCTGGAAGTCATTTACTTTTGCAGAGACTGCTTGGAAGTATTACAAAGGTACTGCCAAATCTAACTTGAAGCGTTAGACTGCGCCATGTTTAAAGTTAGACACAAACGTGAACGCACTGCACAAAGCCAGTTTGTCTTCAGGCAGACATACACTTCATGTTAGTTAGAGCTGGAACACTTATCAAAGAAGCCGTGAGACCAGAATAGCATTTCACTAAGCTGCCAAACAAAACCTGTGCAACAGGATGCTTCCTGAAAACACAAAGGCCACATGCCTGAGGGAGATGAAGACAGATTCATGCATAACAGCACCACAGGGTTGTCATCTTGGTACTTACTACAGGGGTGGAGCAGGGACACTGACTTAGAGAGTGAGAGAGCCTGAAGGAGGGACCGGCCACTGTTCATGGGAACACCATCTACAGAGCAGGGACAAATCCTTTACTGTTACAGCCTGCTGATATCTTCTCAAATAAAAGCAAGTATTGAAAAGTTTCCATCAAAAACAGACGGTTTCCCACGGCTTCCCACTTTTTCCTTGTACTCATTTTGAGAAAGGTCAGCCTTCTGCCACTGTGCTTTGGTGTTTACCTCACTACAGTGCAGGGTTTTTCTGTACTTTCCCAGCTGAGCCCTAAGCGAGACACCCCCAGCACTGGCAGCTGGGCAGAGGGATGGGGCAGGTTTCTAGAAAGCAGATGCCTGAAGGAATCCAGACACAGCTCTGCTACAGCCTGCAGAGGTCAGGGAGAGTTCTAGGCATTTGTGTCCCTCACTGCCAGCAGCTGGTGGTGCAGCACATGCCTGTTGTGCTGCACAGAGGACTGTTTCAAAAGCACGACAATGAGGTTTACACAATACATGGGAATGCCCAGCACAGATTGACTCAGGGGGAAAAGAGAAAAGAATGAAAGGGACATGAACTCAAGCCTGAATCAGGTTGGAGCAGGTAACGATGTCAGAATGAAATTTAATGGTCTATGACACCAAGAGTCCCTTTGGGAAGGAGGTCAAAAGAACTTGGTTTTAAGTCCAAGCACACATGTTGCAGAGTTTTGCTTATCAGTCATCTCATATTTCCATGACAGATTCTCCTTGTTTACTTCTTTGCTTCTACAGAGACTTCTCACTAACCTGCTGGATACAAACGATTGCAAACACATAGGTGAAGTGGTAAAATACAACGCAGCTACATGCTGCAGTAGATAATCCTCCTCACAAGACAATCTGAAGTTTTGAAGTTTTACTATGTATCTTAAAAAAAAACATGTTAGAAACAATACAGAAGAAATTACAGTAAAAGAAATTCGTTTTCTACAACATAGGAAGTGAAGTGATTGGAAGTGGACTGAGTCCACAGCACGTCCACCACTTTTAGACATTCTTCAGGGTCTAAGCGAAGCTGGGACCACCCATTCCCCCAAGGAATTTCTGCCCGTCCTTAGCATCCTTGCAGTCTCCACAGGGCACACAGCAGGTTAGGGTAAGGCTCTTAGGAAAAGAAGATTATTACTCTCGTCTGCATTACTTTTTATGACTAAGCACTCTCATTGTCACAAATCTTATGTCCTCCCAAGGATTAGCTTCTATGGGTGGTATGATGAAGCAGGACATGGCAGAAGAGCAATGGAATATGGTAGGGGTACCTAAGGGCAACTAACCCACTCTTCCACAGGCACCGGTGGATGGTTGGACTGGATGATCTTGAAGGTCTTTTCCAACCTTGGTGATTCTTGTGATTCTGTGATTCTATTATTCTGTGACTCTGTGATCTGCACTTTCACAGACTTTGGGCATGCAACTACCAGAAGGAGGGTAGGCCTCAGTAAAGAGGTCAGCACTGGGTTGAAGCACGTAAACATGAGATGGGGCTGCACATACTCAAACACAGAGTAGAGCTGGCACTGACCTTCACCTGAATCACCAACTGTGAAGTCCTGAGGAATGCGAGGTCTTCCCAATGAATCTTTGGGGGAGGAACAGGAGTAGGAGCGTGACCGAATTCCAGAGGGTGAGCATTCCTGCAAGAAATTGCAGCAGGTAAGAACCTGTATTGATTTGAAATTCTTCACCAGTAGAAACAAAATAAACACAAATAGAAGTGGCAGAATTTCTGGAAGAGACAGCTGATTTCATACATAACTTGCTTTTAGTAAAGCTTTAAATTTAAGTACAATTACCGAGTACTTCACTTGAATTCTTACACAGCCTGTCGTAATTTTGTCATGAAAAATTTTAGCATATTTCATGAAATAATTTTTGCTTTTAGGTCAGACTAAGAAAAAGCTTACATTTTCCTCCAGTTTCATGGCAAGAAGCATTCAGCTAATTTTGTGCACCATTATATCTGATGACAAAGTTATGTCCTCTTACTATGGAGGTCATTAATTCTTTGTGTTTGAATACTACAAGAACATTTCAAACAGGCTAACACCTTATCAGGGCAATTAGTGATAAGAAAACAGTTATCTTCTCTCTCTCTCTTCCTGCTGCTTTTTTTTGGACTGTACTTGAAAAGACATTCTGATTCCTAATTATGTCAGTGATATAGCTTGAAAGGAACTCGCCATGATTTTTCAATACATCATTTAAATTTCAAGAGGCTACTCCTAAACTGCTTACTGCCTTTGAAAGTAGCCCTAACAAAATCAACTGTTTGAGCAGGACTTTTTTCTTCCTTAATGTAATTATTTGCTGAAGTTCAGATAAAACTAAACTTTGGTGAGATGCTTGTCTAATAAAATATAAAAAATCCCTCTGAATATAAAATAACTGTGCATGCATGTCTGAAGTTCCCAGAAATGGCATCAGGGTCTAAAGAAAACAAAGCAGCCATAATATTTTGGAAATTATAATCAGGAGGAGAGATTTGCACTGTTCATTGTACAAAACTCAGCTGATTCTCCTGGCGTCTGGCAACTGCTTTAAAACAAGCAGCAGCAGATCGGTTTTATCCTGTTGCCTTTTCACATTACTGCAGCTGATTAAATATTTTCTAACTGTTTTTATTAGAAAATGCTGATTCACTAAACCTGATCTATTTCCTCTGAAACACTTCCAATAAATGATGTTTTTTTCCAAAGCTGAAGCAACTCTCCGATGGTCCATTCCATGGGCTGCTGTCAAGCCTGCCAACAACCAGGAACACCCCCACCCATGCTGCTCCCTAAACAGACTAGCACCTGTGACTTTCACCTGGGAAATGATTTTTCCCTTTAAGATGCAGATACTTCCTCATATATTTTCAGTGACTGACATAACAGGAAGACAACCCAAACCAAAACAGCATTGAATACCTTGGGCTGTGGACTGATAGATAAGGGTAGTGATTCTGTCCAGCTGATGCTCGCCTCACAAGCGTCTAATCCATCTCTGCTACAAGCCTTCACCTCCGGATGTTCAAAAAGAGGGTAGGGTATATTGGATCTGTCCGAAACACTTTCACTTCTGCTGTTTACTTCAAGGTCATCAAGACTTGAACTGAAGCAGACAACACAGTATTTAATTAATATATGCTCTAGGAATCAGTCTCAGTGCAACATGCAATACCTCCGTATGCCCTGCTAATAAGTGACAACCCAAGCTACCACCACACTGTCAAGTCATGCTCTGAGTGCCCTCTCACGTTTCCAGTCACCTGGTCATGAATCACAGCTTTTCATCCATCAGGATTCCCAGGTCCTTCTCTGCAAGGCTGCTCTCAAGGACTGCTCCTTCCAGTCTGTATAATGCCTTGGATTCCTCCGACCCAAGTGCAAAACCTGGCACTTTGTTATGTTGAACCTCATTAGGTTCACCTGGGCCCATCTTTCAAGCCTGCCTTTCAGTCCCTCTGAACGGCATCCCTTCCTTCCATTGTGTCAACTGCACCACTCAGCTTGGTGTCATCAGCAGACTTGCTGAGGGTGCACTCGATTCCATCATCAATGTCATTGATAAAGATGTTAAAGAGCACCGGTCCCAAGACAAGACTTCTGGGGGACATGGTACTCCGTCACCCTGCACAGGACTCACCTGTCCTGACCCTGTAGATCTGCAGTGCAGATGTTTACATTGCTGACCCCCTGTAGGACCCCACCACAGTCAGCCACCTCTGGGATAATGTTCAGACCCATGGCAGGCATCACTCTTAAAGGCGAGTGTTTTGTTTCACACCTCTCTACATACACAACACAGAGAACTTAGACAACTAATTCATATTTAATAGAAAGATAAGTACACACACATGGCTTTTCTCATTATATGTGCGCGCATGTGTGTTTATTTAAAATATATGATGTGGCAATTCACAGGAGTCTTCTACAGCTGTGAACAGATGGAGGATGGAAGAGGAAGTTAAAATGTATGAAGGAGAATATGAAATAGTTTATGAGGTTAATTTCAAGACCTATACTTTTAAAAACATAAAAACACATAGATATATACAGGTGATGAGACACTGAAACAGACTGCCCAGAGAAGCTGGGGATGCTCCATCTCTGCGTGTGTTCAAGGCCAGGTAAATGGGACTTCGATCAATCTGAGCTAGTGGGCAATGTCTCTGTCCATGGCAGCTGAAAAAGATTATCTTTAAGGTTCCTTCTAACACCAACCATTCTGTGATTTTATAAATGGGCTGAAAAAATCCCTAGCATCAGGGATCAACACATCAGATATCTAGAGATTTACTGAGTGGCAGAGGTTCTGGTAGAGAACAGGACCATAACGCTTTCCAGCGGCATCAGACTGTGACAAATCCTATGAGTCACAGTGAATGTGTACGTGAGTTCATGGTCTGTATGAATTAAATGACTGGTTGACTCCCTGCAATAACATTCCAGCCTTGCAACATAAAACTTTAAATAACGTGCAGTATTTGTAAATAGCCAGAGTTTCTACCAGGAATATTAGCACAATTCCTTCCCACACCACTACAATTCACTTTGTTAAAGACAAATCTACTAATACAAGTTCTGACATAAAAAGATGTTTGAAAGATCTGCTAGCCTGCCACATTACCTCAGACACTTCGAGGAAGTAGACACTGAAAATAGATACTAATATTCTCATTTTATGTGTAATACTTGATCACTTACAGTTGATTTATAAAGGTAAATCAAATCTCTCTGAAAACTCAAATAAGCTCATAAAGCTTATACAGACCTTAAAAAGTTGAAAATATTTTAAAAGTACAGAATAAAAAGTGTTTATTTCAGAGAGGCAGAAGAAGGTCATTTATAGCATTCTACGCATTACCATCATAGCTAGTTAAAAGAAAAGAGCTGGTGGGAAAGAAGCACTTTTAGCCTAAGATGTGTTGTGTTATCTGTGGAAAAACATTCCTCCTGGTAGGACTTTACAGTTACTTAAGGAAAGCAAAGTTTTGATACAGGACATGCTTTTGATTACTTTAATCAACAATGATGAACAGACATTACTGCTTCCTTTACAAGTGCTTTGATGTAAATGTAGTGCTCTAATTCCAGTTAGCCCAAATGCGCCTGGACAATAGGAGACAGTTCCCAATTTCTTCTGTGCAAGAAGAAACCAATTTCAGGTCTCTTCTACTCAGAAGAAGCCATAAAGCTTGTTTATTGTTGTTGTCATTTTCTTTCCCCACTCTCTTTTTCTTTTCCCTAGGGAATTAACTACTTGTTAACAACAAAAATAACAATTTCTCCTTCAAGACCCTCTCTGCCTTCCTAAAGACATTTAGTTCCTACCGTAATCTAAAGCCACCTAAGGGAGTGCCCTCAGAAATCTGCCTCAGCGTTTTATACCAGCAGAAGAGCAGAAAAAAAGTCTGAGCCTGCTGGAGACAGGAGCTGTACTGTGTATTCTATCTTCTGAGAAAAAAAAAGAAGTATATGTGATCAGCGCTGAGAAAGAAAATATATCCACAGAATTAGACAGATTTTGAAACATTTTCTTAACGGTAAATATAAATGCAGAAAAGTGGGGGTGAAATTGCAATTTCTGGCAAAAATGGCACAATGGAAGTTCTTACAGTAAAGAGCTGATTTTTGTTTTTTGAAGAATACATGCATAGAAAAAAAAAGATTTAAAAAAAAAGTATAAATTTGCATTAAAATTAATTTACTTAAGCATTCCCTTTTTTAAAAAAAAGAACTGTAGCTATCATACAAAAAAAGATCATTAAGTCAAATATCTGTGGTTGAAAATTGTAATTTTACTTTGATAAAAATATTTATTATCTCAGATTCTGCTTCACCCTTTGAAACAAAAGGTTATCAGAAATAATTCTAACTCTGGCTGTAATATCAGGTCAGTTCCACACCTTTTCTTTTTCATAACAGCATGAAGTTGGCTCTGCTCCTTAATAAACTCATTTGTCTTGAATGGAAGGTAAGAATCTGCTTCATGCAGATCAGAAGGTGAAACAGTAGGTCTTAAGCCTGCTTTTCCTTCATTTTTCACTGACATCCGATTTCCTTCATTTGGATCACATCTACACTGGTCATTCTCCTCAAGGGAATGAGATGAAGAGCTCTTTGCTACTGCGGCTGAGCTGGCGGGATTCAGACACATTTCACTGCTAATACTATCTCCATGAATGTAGTTCATTTTTAAATCTTCAGCCTGCAGAGAAAAAGCAAATGCTGGTAAAACACAGTAACAAGACGCATCATCAAAGAGCAAGGAACATATTATTTGAACATTACTCATTATTATATGATTTGCCTTTTTATCTATTACTTTTCACAGCATGTGAACTGAAAACGAGTTATATGGCTTAAGAATTATTAGACTTTGCATTACCTTTTCCATAATAGCAGCAGTAACAAATTAATATTTGCAAGTCTAATTGAATTCTCTCTCATATCTGTGACTTGGTTAAATATATCAAATCAAATTAATATTTGCAAGTCTAATTGAATTCTCTCTCATATCTGTGACTTGGTTAAATATATCAAATCAAATTTATAGTTTGTATTTAAAAAAAATCTTCAGGTCAAGCAAAAAATATTTATAACACATTAGTATGGGGAAAATTGTGTGATTTAATTGGAAAACTCAGCCTACACATTACGGCTTTTTTTTTTTTTCCCCAGCACTGGCCCTCCAAGCTTTGTAATAAATGTTACAACCTGGAGCAGAGGTTGTCCATGGAAAGAAGGGAAAGTAATCTTTCTTTTTTGTCATTAGCAGTTGCAAGCATAAAACATCCTTCTGCTTGCACAAAAACTAAGGAATGCACTTAGGAATCATGTTTACTCAGGTACAAGGATTGGGATTTAAACTCTGGTTAGAAATTACTAACTTTTTATTAAATATAGGTTGAAATCTTCTATCAACTCTATGGAATCAGCATCAGTCTTTTAGACACTACTACTGTCTAGTCAGATGCTGAATAATAATGATTTGTCACTCAGCCAGTGAAAATGACCTTCAAAAAGCACCCGGATACGCAAGCAAAAAGAAAGGAGTGAAGGAAGCCCTGGATTTTCAGACTGCTGCCTTCCTCCTCTCCAGCTCCACTTGAGATGTGTTTTCATCCTGATCATAACTATGTTTCTCATCATAAAATACAGAAGGAACTGCTGACATTTTTACAGCAGTCCATATTTCTACTCAGGTATTTCTGTGGTGCTGCACAAATGAGATGTGTGAAAGTAAATTTCTTCTCCTGGGGTTCATGCAGCTGCTCCTCCCTTCAAAGTTATTCCCTTTGGGCACTGTTCCCACTTCACAGCAGAGGGATTCCCTATGGCAGCTGCAGACAAGAGCAGCAGCTCTAGATGAGCAGCACTCAAAGGGAATATCACTCCAAACAGCAATTTAATGAGGTTGAATATGGCTATGCATTGAGCTGACAGAGGGCAATAAACCAAGCTGAAAGTCTCAAAGCAATACAGTCAGATAATATTTGCATTTCTGCTGCTCTCTCCTTACAGCAGAATATTGCTAAAACTAGGGGTCGTGCATAGGCATGAACAGACCTTGCTGTCTGCTCACTGCTAGGTCATTATTTTGTGAAACTCTCAGTAATGCTAAGTGTATTTTGAGTATGAAGTCCTCCAGCTGAAACTTCTATCTCAGCTGTAACAAAGACCTGGGCCTTCAGTGTATGCAGTACTTCTGTTTCAGGCAGATAAAGCTTTCTTCTAATATTTCAACCTTATCATTTCTTATTCCTACATTCAAGATTTTAACCAGAGAAAGTCCACAGAACATAACAAATACATCAGTTCAAACATCATGAAAGCCACAGCTGCATGCCATCAAAATGTTGCAGCTTTTTAACTGCACACAATGACTAAGGTTGGACTAGTCCCTCTTCCCCAAGTTATGATACTTAAATGTGATCACAGAGATGGATTTCAGGTGCAGTATGATGATCTACAACACAAATTGGTCTGGACACAATCTCCAGTGCTGCTGATGAATGAGAAGCACAAACCCTCGGTCAGGAGCACCAGAGGCACAATGTTCCTTATCAACCAAAGGACACTGACTTCACCTTTTCACCTTTACCTTGAAGTCCAAACATAAACTTACTTGGTCTACTAGCATGCAGTTTGCATAGACTTCATCACTTCCATTCAGCATAGTAGAAAGTCTAGCTGCAGCAAAGAAAGTAGGTGGAGTTTTCAGCTTCTTAAAAATATCAAGGGTAGAATGTCTCTGTGCTGAAAAAAAGAAAATGTGGAAAAAGGTAATTATTTCTCAAACCATTTTCTTCTCTTATTTATATATTGTCATAAAAAATGTAAAAGTCTAACTATTAATCACAAAATCTTAAAATTTGAGAAATATCTTCATCGCTTGTTGTGGTTTAACCTGACAGGTAGATCAGCACCACTCAGTCATTTACTCACACCCCACCACCCCACTGGGATAGGAAGGAAAATCAATAAGGAGGAAAAAAAAAAATATCAAAGGATGAGATAACAGACAGTTTAGTAGGATAAAAAAAGGAACGTAATAATACTAATGGAATGTACATAACAAGTAATGCACAACAGAATTGCTCAGCATCTGATGAATAGAAGCAAAGCCAGCCTCTAAACAGAAGCTGCTCCCCCAAGCAGTTTTATTGTTGAGTGTGATGCCACATGGTCAGCATGATCCCTGTGGTCAGTTTGGGTCAGAAGTCCAGGTTCCAACACCTCGCATCTCCTTGAGTCCCCCCATTGCTTGTCGGCAGAGCACTGTGAGAAGCTGAAAAGGGAATCCTTGATTGAGGCTGAATCACTGCTCAGCCTCAACTAAAATATCACTTTGTGATCAACATGTTCTCATTCCATATTCAAAACACAGCACCACATAAACTACTAGGAAGAAATATAATCCAGCCAAGAAAATGACAGGCCTCTCAAAAATGTGCAGTTTCTTAATTGCTTAACATTTGGTAAATGTTCCTATAATCCAATAGTTGGGAAAAAAAAAATCGTAAAAGTTACCATAGAATGATTAAATGATAAATTAAAAATAAGTGTTCCTGTAACTTGGCAAGTAAAACCTTCTATTTTCCGACTAAGCTAGAACTTTGTACATGTCTGTGGCTGCAGAATTTTAACTACAGTAAACAGAACAAGATTTATGGGTTGGAATGAGACTGGCTAACATACTAATTATCTAATTTCTGATATATTATAATGAACAGAACACAGGTAATCTGCAGTCAAGTAATGACTTTCCTTAGGCATTCTGCTTACTGGAAGCAGTAAAATAAAATACTACTCCTAAATCAGTAATGTACATAATGATTTCTAAAACAAAAAGCAAAAAAAAAAAGCAATAAAATTGTAAGAAGAATAAAAATAAAATGGTATCAATAATGCCTTTGCAGAATGACAGCCACCAATCAAGATTTGATCTCTGAACATGATGCTGAAATGTTAAGACATCATTTTAACAGCAGCAGGGGTTTGGAGTTCCCTTCAATCACCTACAATTTTGTGATTTTGTGATTAACAGACATTCAGGATTTAGTTTTCAGTAGTGTGCTCCTGACTGCAGATATTACAGAAAGCTGCATGAGCTGACTGTTTCATGGCTCTGAGCAGCAGCAAACCTAACTAAGTGCCACAGACATCATCAGTCTGTCCTGTGGGCACATTTCTCTTCACACTGCTTCTGATTATGAAGAGCATACGCTAATTTAGCACTTGAACCAGTAGCAAAGGCCTCCTAACATTTTCTGATTGTAGAAGGAGCAAAGCTTCACAAAGGGAAATCAATACAAGTCTAATTTTGTGAAAACACACTGCTAAAAAATAATTCAAGTTTTAACAATTTAACTTTTTTTACGTTAAGATGCTGTAAGTCAAGTATTTCCCTTGGAAGTGAACTGAGATTAGCATAAGAATAATGTGATAAAAAATAATTGTCATACTCTGCACAATAACCAAAAATCAAAACTCTCAAAAAACTTAATTCCAGCTTGACTGTTATTGAAAATTATGCAACAATTCCTTCTTAGTCTGCGTCAAGTACAATTTATTTTCTGCAAAGGTGGAAAGTAGAAGATTAGAAACTACATTTGCCAAGACCTGGTATATTTATCCCTTAAAAAAAAAAAAAAAGCTCAGACTGCTGCCAAAACCACAATTCTGTACCATAGCTTTTCTTTAATTTTAAGATCCTATCTCATAAAGCCCAAGAACAGTAAGCTCCATATTTATAGAAAACCAGAAATTCCCATTTAAAAATGGCCTACTATGAATTATTTGGTTTCTAGTATTGGCAAGCCTTATGGGATCTGATACCATTAAAAACATCCTTATACTTCTCATTTCTCCTCTTCCCTCCTTCAGGACTTCAAACATGATTTTAGTGACTGATATTTTGAGATGTGCTAGAGTTACAAACCATTTCCTTATGTCTGCCAAGATCTCAAAGCATTATATAATGCTTATATAATGTTTATAAACAGTATAAACTATTGTTATCTACAGCAGTTAAAATCAAATGGAAATGTGATTTAGCAAAGCAGGCAGCGCTTTCTTGTGACGAGCAAAGTTTTTTGAGTGCAGGTCTTAAACTATCAACCACTAAAGAAAAGCATGCCAGGCTCTACGTCCAACCTGAGCACCCACTGCTTTCTGGACAATGCTGCCTCAGTACCAGCCTGCTGGGCACAGATAGCAAAGGCCACAGTCAGCTTGGTGCTCAGCTGAAGAAGCATCCCCTGAATCAGCCCAGGACTAAAAACGCCACAGTGCAAACCCCAGGCAGCTCCTCTGGGGACAGCCTCCTGGCTCCATGCACAGTCCTTGCTTCCAGGGTCTCTGCAGCCAGCTAATGGACCATGCTGTGACTTACACATCTTGGGCCAGAAGCAACAAAAACCCCCTACCATGTTGTACTGGTGCTTATATAGCAGTTTTTAACACCGAATTTTGCACAACTTCCTATACTAGAGTAACAACCTGAGTAAGATTTTCTGCAGGAAGCTTGCTGCAAATACCATGATATATTAACCAGAATATGCTATCTTCAGTACTTCCAGTCAGTAATCTTTATGGATTATTGCTGTAGTATGACCTATACTTTTTGGGTGATGCACCAGTCAGTCCGCTGTTAAAGGTGAGATCTGCAAACAATCACTTTTGGGTTTGAAAAGTGAAATCACAGGGTTTGAAGTGAAAAGACAAAAGACAGAGGGCTACTTTGGGCTCCGTGACACAGTATGATCCCCTTGCACCTCCTTACCTGCACCTTCCTTGATTTCAAATATGCACGAAGAGCCAACTACATCACAGTAATTTTGTAACAGGAAAGGTATTTCAAAACTCTGTTGAATGCAGGGGACAGCATTATTAATTACACATTGACTCTGCTAGTAACTTATTTCTACTGGAAAGACCAGCTTCGTTTATAAATAAATGAAATTGTAGCAAAAGCCCACATCACACTCTGAATGCCTGCAACGCTGCTAACCAACTCCAGCCTACCTAAAGAGCAGGCATGAGTCACCAGTAATCTCTCAGGGACCACTACCTATCTTCCACCAATTTAAATGGCAGCAGGTAGTAGTACCCCATTGCACTAGGTGCCATTATCAATACCCAGCAAGGTTATGAGTAAATCTATTTTCAAAGGCAATGTCTCAGAAGCCTCCCGTACCCATTCAGTATGGTTACTCTCATTGCAGATGAAAACTCCAGTAAAGTGAATGGACAGGCAGATAAGACTTCGGCATCTCTTTGAACAGTGAATGTGTCCCAAAGAGTTCTAGCTCTGAATGGCAATGGACTTCAAGGAGTTTGGTAATGGACTTCAGGGTGATTGGTGAGGAAAACATATGACACAAAAGCATTCACTCCGCTGTTGGCTAGTGAAGAACCTAACAAGCACAGTGCCCTTCAAGTACTGGAAGGCTGCAATGAGATTTCTCCAGAGATTTCCTCTGAGCTAAACAAGCCCAATTCTCTCAACCTTTTTTCATCAAAGAGGTGTTCCAACCCTCTGGCCATCTTTGTGGCCTTCCTCTGGACCTGCTCCAGAGGACCCACATGCTTCCTGTACCAGCAACCCAGGCCTGGACGCAGTACTCCAGGGGCCTCACAAGAGCCGAGTAGAGGGAGATAATCAATTCCCTCTCCCTGCTGGCCATTCCTTTTTAATGCAACCCAGGATACTGTTGGGTTTCTGGGCTGCAAGAGTACACTGCTGGCTCACATCCAGCTTTTTTGTCCATCAGGACCCTCAGGTCCTTCTCAGCAGGGCTCCTCTCAATGAGTTCTTCTCCCAGTCTGTACACGTACCTGGGATTGCCTTGACCCAAGTACAAAATGTTGTACTTGGCTTGTTGTGAACCTCATTATATTTTGTACTTCACAACAATATTATAATATAATATTATAATTATATATATAATTATATTATTATATATATTTCATGATCCCACTTTTTAAGTCTGTCCTGGTCCCTCTAGATGGCATCTCTTCCTTCCACTGTGTCTACTGCACCACTGAGCATGGTGTCATCAGCAAACTTGCTGAGAGTACACTCAATCACATTGTCTATGTCATTGCTAAAGATGCTGAAGAGCACTGATCCCAAGGTGGACCCCTGCGGAATGCCATTTGTGATCCACTTCCACCTGGACTTAGAGCCAGTGACAACAACTACCTGGCTCACAACCCATGCAATCAATACTTAATTCACCTAATAGCCCAGCCTTCAAACCTGTATCTCTCCAATATAGATAACGATGTGGTCTGGAACCATGTTAATGGCACTGCATAAGTCCAGATAGACAACATCAGCTGCCCTTCCTTTGCCTACCCTCCATCCATCCCTCCACCATAGAAAGCCGAAGTTATTCAGCTGTCATCAGTTATTCAGCTGTACATTTTACCAGGCAAAAAAGTCATAAAAATTCATTAATTTTAGAAAACACATGATCACCACAGCAATAATTTAAAACAGGCTTTGAATTGGCATGCAAGGATGTATAGCCTTAAATGAACTGTTCTGGAAAACCACATGAACATAATACTGATTTTTCCCACAAAAATCCACACTCAGATTTTCAGAGAGAGCACACAGCAAAGAAGAAGCAAAGTACAGCAGTGTGACCAAGGTGAGAGCCAGGAAAGAAATTATGAATTCCCTCCTCTAGATACTGTGAATAGTTTTCAGACAGCTCATCGCATTTACCCCCAGCAATCCTAACACA